GCTGGTGTCAGCAGCTGGGAGGAAAATTCACCTACACAAGGGAGATGGACGGTCACTCCGTTATTCCAGCGCTGGGGACACGGGGGATAGCTCCATCCAAGCGTGTCTGCCGTAGCATCCCAATCCATGGGCTTTTATCCACTCAATGTCGTGCTCACCTGTGCCACTTACGTCTCCAGGCAAGGCCCTTGCTTTGGTCTGCGTGGCTGGGCCTGAAGGGAGAGCTGGGGGAAATGGAGAGGACAGAACCTGCTGTGAAAGACACCCCAAGCCTCTAATGTTTAGATGCTCGTGGGGTGGCAAAGCTGGGTGCTTTGAGCTTTAGCAGGAGATCAGAACGAGAACTGAGAAGTGCTTATATTATACAGCAGTATGTCTTTCTGCTTTGGAGACTTCCTGCTCTCCCTTATCAGTATTTTAGCAGTTGGGATACTCTGTTTAACTTCTCGTGGCTGACAGATTAAATGAAAGGGCATCTTGACCTTGAGAAAACCAGGATTTCCAGGTCCCACCTGTGCTCACAGTAAAGAGAAGAAATTTGAAGCCGAAAGTGGTTCCTGAAGTGCAAGGGCCTGGTGCTGTGTCAAGAGAAGCCCGTTACAGTGGGTTTTCTAACGGAGTGAGAGCTGGAGTTACCCATACAGCACCCAGGAGGGTGGCAAAGCTCGGACGGGTACTTTTGCCCCTTTATTTCTCTTTCCAGGGCTCCAGCTTTGGTTAGGAAAGGCTTTGTTACACATTTCTGCAGGTCACTGGGGCGTTTTAGTTTGTACAGCTGAAGTTTCCAATTCCTACAAACACAAAATCACATTCCTTAATTAATGGGATGTGATGAATCTGGTGATGATGTTAAAACATAACCAACACCACTTGGTTACTTGGGTGTGACCAGGTTTTTGGTGTAAAACACAAGGTGGTTTGTGCTGCCTCTGCTGTTCTACAGGAGAAAGAAAAGAGGAAAACAGGATAAAAGGGTGACGTTGCAAACTCATCTCCCGGTGTGCTCCCGAGGGTACTGTTACTGGACATGAAATCAAACTCTTGCTTTTCTTTTCTCGCTCCTTGTGTTGGGCTGTGTAGTGAAGTACTCCGGGTACCTGGAACACACGGGTGAACCCTTCTGCACAACCTACAACAGCAAGTCTCCTGAGCTGATGAAACTTGGAAAAGGTAGGTTTGAACTGAAAAGTTTGTCCTGGGACTCAGTTATAAAGAGCAGCCCAATTAGACATGTGAATTTAAACACTGTTTAGTATCTTTAGGTTATTTGAAACCTTTAAAACTTGTTAACAGTGTCTAAAAGGCTCCTGCTTCACACAGGTGGTGGTCAATCCGGAACTGATCACCTTCTGCCCCTCTTGACTGTTAGTGGCAGCAGGGTGGTTGCCGTCTGCCTTGAGGTGGCTGCTCATCTTGGTGTTTTTAGACCATCTGAGAGGAGACATTGCTGTTGACTGTGTGCTTGGTCCCACAGCAGAGCGCCCTGATAATCCGTAACAGGGTAGCTGAGCATTGGAGTTGCTAAGATGTGACCTACCAAGGCTTATTCCTAGAACGGTTTGGGTTGGAAGGGACTTCAAAGATCATCCAGTTCCAACCCCCCTGCCATGGGCAGGGACACCTTCCACTACACCAGGTTGCTCAAAGCCTCATCCAACCTGGCCATGAACACTTTCAGGGATGGGGCAGCCACAATTCCTCTGGACAACCTGTTCCAGTGTTTCACCACTCTCATTGTAAAAAATGTCTTTCTTAGATCTCATCTAAATCTCCCCTCTTTCAGTTTAAAGCCATTGCCCCTTGTCCTGTCACAACATACCCTTGTCCAAAGCTCCTCTCCAGGTTTCTTGTAGCCCCTTTAGGTGCTGGAAGGTCTCCCCGGAGCCTTCTCTTCTCCGGACTGAACAGCCTCAACTCTCTCAGCCTGTCTCCATAGCAGAGGTGCTCCAGCCCTTGGATCATCTTCATGGCCTCCTCTGGACTTGCTCCAACAGCCTTTTCCTCCAGCCTTTAGGAGAAACTTTTTTTTTTTTAATCTGAGCAGGTTTCTGGGTTTGCAGTTCTCGTGACCTTCCATTTCTTGTTGCGACAGACATCACGCTGCGGGGCCTGGAACTCGGCCTCAAAACAATGAAGAAGGGAGAGGCGGCAAGATTTGTCTTCGTGCCTGATTACGCCTATGGGCGGTTGGGCTGTCCTCCTCTCATCCCCCCGAATGCCACGGTCACATTTGAGGTGGAGGTGCTGGACTTCATAGACTCAGATGAATCTGACACCTTCTTCGAGTTGACTGCTGTGAGTTACCTTCGTAAGGTTTGAGCCCCAAATCTGGAGGCTAAACCTTTGTTGTCTTTCCTTCGAGCTGCTGTGGCTCGTGCATTACATGTGTGTAGCTTCATGTAGGTGCAGTTGTGCAGAGCCTGGGCTGCTGTCTCTGCTCTGATGCAAACACACGCTCTCTCAGGCTGCCCCTGCATGCTTTGATCTGTTTGCACTCCTGTGCAGAGGGAGAAACTGGGTGCTGCCTTTGTTTGCTCACCCACGCTGGCGTCGGTGGAATGATTTCCATCTATTTTTAGCTTTACAAAAACCCTCATGGTTTCACTAGAGGGCACCAGCTTCCAGGAATTTCTCTGAAGGAACAGTAATGAGCTGTCTGTAAAAATCCTGCTTAGTCTGCGGTGTCCAAGTGCCCCCTCAGCCCCCACCCTTTGTCTCTGCTTCTTGGCTGCTCTCCCAAGTGCTCCTTCACTCTTGGCTTTCCTCCCTGGTGAGTTCTGCTGTTACTGTTAATTCCCCCTTTTTCGTGTAAAGGGCTTTGGGCTGTGGTTGTGGGTCAGTGAGTGGGGCACAGGCAGCAGCACTGGTGGGGGAGGCCCTCCTCATTCCCTCCTGCTGCTGCACAGGCTGTTTTTTCCACACGTAGTCTTGGGAGCAAACCTTGCTTGTTGCAAGAGAACTTACTCCCCTTCTTGCCAGTTGCCTGCCCTTTCTGGCTAACTGACCCCTCTGTGAGCTGGTTCAAACTCACAAATCCAGGAGGAAACCTGTCCCTCGGTTTTTATCTTTTTTTTTTTTCAATTGTTCTTGGTGTGGGGTTTTTTTGCCTTAGTGGGTTGGTCTTGTGTGGGTGTCAGGCTGGTCCAGGAGCTGGCCTGAGGCAGCCATTCTGGACATTGGAGCAGCGGAGCCTTTCAATCAGCTTCACCTTTTGTGCCAGCAATAGTATTTGTGTTAACTGTGTGCTCTGTGCTAAGCAGGTGGGAGAGTTGGGCAGGATTTAAGAACACATTCCTGC